TCAGCTTTGCGCTCTTGCTTTAAGGTACCTGCTGCTGCGGTGTTTTAGATGTGAGGCTGTAAACGGATGCTTTTTTCTTTAAAAAGTGTACTTTTCTCTAGAAGAAAATACAAAACAAGGGAACAATTCTATTAACTTGTTAGAATAAGTTCTGAGAGTCTGACTTTAGGACAGCTATTCCTTGATGGTTTGCATTTTTATGACACTTGTATGGCTAGACCTTTAAAGTGCACTTCTATACGAAGTATTCTGTCTGTGATGACTTAGTGCCGTGCTGCTGTTTTTCTGACTTTGAGGTTTTTAGTGGGAAGGCCTTTGAGGCAGGATCTTTGCTGCAATTTTAGCAACTTTGTGATGGATTTGGATTGCAGAGGTAAACATTTAAGTCTCTGTAAAACTGCATCCTGAGATGAAAAAAGCCAACAGAGGAGAAACTCCAGTGCGGCAGGTTTCGGTTGGTGTTGGCTGCCTTGGTTCTTGTTTTCTCAGTCGTCGTTTAGATCTGCACAGTAGTTTTCAAGACTACTCAAGGTGCATCCATAATCTCTCGATCTGCAGGATGTTTGGGCAGTCTTACTCATTTAAAATCCTGTGATGAGTGACTTGTTTGCAGCATGAGTGAAGAAATGTGATTTTTTCCCCCTCTTCTGCCCCCCTAATTTCTCTGTGGTGGTGTTCTGGTGGAAGGGCAGGCTCGCGGCAGTGCTGTTCAGGGTAATTACTGCACAGTGAAGTGAAGGGGCGCATTGACTGACTACTAGTGATCACTTCGGTTTTTCTATTACTGTAATTCATTGAGCCTTGCATTGCTGTCAGGGTTATTCTAGTGATATATGATGCTCAGAAGCAACAAAATAAAAGGAACTTATGCATTTTTTCCATGTTTGGGTATACTGTTATTTCAGTGGTGTCTAAAATGACCCTCCCCCTCGCCCCATTCTCCCCCCCAAATAGGGAAGTTTACAAATAGTGCGTGAGTGGATCAGATTAGATGGTCTGATGTTGCTTTCTGGCTTTATCCTCTGCTGATTTACTTTGCCTTATGCTTTGCTTGAACAGAAGTCATCCTGTAAAATCTCCTAGTCTGCAAGAACAAAGTCGCTTGGAGAAGCGTTAACTTTTGCTCACTTTGAGCTAGGTAAAAGAGGAGGTGGAAGCAGCAGGAACATTTGTGGTGCAGCCTTGTCCTCGCTTGGCCCGTTCCTGTGCTTAGGGGCCGCATCCTGGGCTGGCCCTGGGGATGTGCGGGGCAGAGCTGGGGCTGGGACCTGGGGCTGCTGCGTCGGCTCCCGCTCAGTGGGAGCCCCGGGCTCCTTGCCACGCGTGAATACGTGACAGGAACACGCGGAACGAATAGGTAGATACCTGTGTGTCGGCTTGGTCATGATCCCTACATTGGTCTTTAGCCTGGGAACCTGGGAGAAGTTCCTTCTCCCTGTTGTCTTCTGTCATGTCTCTTTGTTGTCTTTGCTGCTGTGCAAAAACTTGTCAGAAAAATGCTTCTAAGGAGAGCCCTATTGCTAATGACATACTAGTAGTATCATACTTCAGACATTCAGACTTCCATGTCATTTGAAATTAAATCTTAGAGGGTTTAGACTGCGAGCAAGCTCGGGGGTTTGTTAGTCGTCTGAGTTACGCTGGCATTTGTGCAGAAAGCACCGAGGAAAGTAGAAGCGAAAGCTGCACGGGACGAGGGGACATTGCGAGTGCGGTGAGGAAAGCGAGGTGAGAATAACAGAGATATTTGAAAAAGAGAGGTAGGTTTTGATTAAGAAAAGAGGGAAGAGGAGAAAGCGGAGGAGAAGAAATGGGAAGTGAGCGAGCGGTGTAGGAGGGAGCCTCTCACACGTGCCGTTCGGACCCTCGAGTGCCACACGGGCATGTGGCAGGACCGTGGCACGTGCCTGGAAGAGCTCGTGTTCTGAACTCGCCAGAAAAAGAGAATATTGCTCTAGTTTACAGACTGGAGACTGAGGTCTTGGCCTTGCTGGTGCAGGAAGCGTTGGTGGGATTAAATAGCAACCTCTGCTCTCTCGGGCTGCTGCCTGCAAGCTGCCCTTTCGTTCTTGGTTTGTTTTCCTGTTCTCCTTTTTCTGTTTCGGCTTGACAGTGAGTGCATGGCTGAGAAGAACAGTGCATCCTTAATGCACTTGTGCTCCTTTAGTGCTGGCAATAAGGCCCAACAATGAAACCGCATCATTTTATTTTTTCAGGCTCTGGTGTGCATGTGTTCATCTGCACAATAAATAATAACCCACAAACCTCAACTCTATGAAAAAATAATGTGCTTCTATCATAAATAATTAAAAACTCCTTCAAGACACGGTAGCAATAAGGGCCCAGTAAGTAGCTGTTTGATCTGGTTCCAGGAGCAGCGGTGCGTGTGCGCGCGCACCCGCGGCGCGTCGGCACCCTCTCCATTTCCTGGGTGCCAGCTGCTTTCAAGAGAGCTGCTCTAGGATTCGGCTTAAAAATATATCCCCTGGGACAAAATCCATGCAGCTCTGCAACGAAGGGCAAAACTTTTAGGAAGTTTAGACTGTTTGCGTGGGGCTGCTCTGTGGCTCCTGGGGTGTGGATGAGCTGCCCGCGTGTCCCAAGGCACTCGCTGCCCCGCGACGTGGGCACATCCAGACACGGACCCAGCACTGGGCAGTGCGGTTCCTCATACAGACCCGGCATCCCTTCCGATAGACATGCTCGTGTTGGAGGTCACGGGTGTTTCTGATATTTCGGGTTTCCAAGTGGGAAAAGCTGCTGCTCCAAGCCCCGAGTGCAGCCCCGCTGCAGCCGGCTTGTGGTCGGGTGAAACCCCCTCCCACTCCCGAGGGATCCGTGCCTCCCAGCACAGCACTGTGGATAGGTGCCACTTGACAGTGCACGCATCCTTTCCCATCATAATTCCTGTTTTTTTTTCTTTCCCCACTTTTTGGCAGTATGTGTCTAAGTAGGTATTTTCACCTTGTTTCACTGCACCCGCACTGTAATTACTGTCTTTGTGCCTTGTCAAACTGTGTGCCACGCTGCATACTTGCTGAAAGGGAAAGCTCTTTAATTATAGAAAATACTCCAACCTTGCAGGCTGCTTTTCAGCAGTTTCCTTTGATCAAGCGGGAGGGCTGGGGCGCCGATCCCTGCAGCGGGAGCTCCCAGCTGCCGTTGGAAGCCGCTGTCTCCGGCTCTGCGGCCTCGTCTGCTGTGCACGCTGGACGAAGGAGCCGACCCGGTCACCAGAACCGTGCGCGGGTCGATGCGGAGCGGCCGCGCGGCCCAGCCCCTGCCTGCGACACGGCCGCCGAGCGCAGCCAAGGTAAACTGCAGTCCCAATCAAACAACGGAGATTCCAGCCCTGGAAACGACAAGGAGATACCCAGGGCTCAAGTTGCGTCTTCACGTTTCTTGCAGAGTTTTAAGCCTGACCTGTGATTTCCCCAAAATACACACGTCCTTTTATTTCAGCAATTTGGACAGCAATCTGAGGGTTTCCAAAATATCTATTACTGTGTTCTTCCTCTCTGAAATATAAAATATATGGACAAAAGGTTTTGAAGCAGTGCAGTCAGATATGCTTTTGTTTCTGAAGTCTCCCTGGATTTAATTTTTAGCTGGCTTTTGTTTCTGTTTATTTTGAGTGTTTCTATTAAGGTAGATCATGGTGTGAACGGAGACGAACTTATGCAAGAGGTCTACTTCTAACATGAGCGTGTTGTTTGCTCTGAAAGCTACGGAAAATAACTATAAGGTTTTAAAGGCTCTTTGTTTTTGTCTTGTTTTTTAGCAGTGGCTCCTTTTCTGTGAAATGCAGCTTTTAATCTGGGGTTGTTTACATGTGTGGCAAATAAGGATTCAATATTCAAAAGCAGAGCAAGATGCTTTGCTGCTTGTGGAATGTGCTGGGCTCTATTTTAAAGTTTTCCATCCGTATGAGAAATATATGGACTCCATTTCTTTTGAACTCAGTAGGATATTTACCTCGAACTTCTGTGTGAGAATTAAAAGGCTGTCATTTTGGATCCTAATCACCTGCCCTACTTGATTTGTTCGTGTGCCTAAAGAGAAGTGCTTTTGAGGGGATGAGCAGCTGCCCAGAGCTTGAAATGCAGCTCGGGCTTCTGCAGCCTCTGGTCGTTTTACACCTCCAGGCTTGGGCAGAGTCTTGAGCTGAGAAGACATCTAGCACGTGTGGCTGGTAGCGAGGGAGAGAGGGAAGCGTTCAGAAGGGTTTGCTTTTTGGTGGCCAACGTGGCTCCGTTGCCAGCGAGGACCGGGGCTGTGTCCTGCAGGACCCCTGCAGAATGAACTGTCTTAGTGGGTTTGCCCTCTTTATGCTCAGTCCTGGGGTTGGGAACCTCCTTAGAAAAGCAGAGATTCTTAAATGGGATTTTTAGCAACGTGGACTAGTCCTGTGTCAGGCTTGAGGTGTGAAAGTGGCCTTTGTTGGGCTGAAAAGGTGCCAGTGTTTGCAGTGAGAAAAGGGATTTCTTTTTCTGAGTGTAACTCAAGCCCCAAATATATTTGAAAAGTCTTTAAAAAAGTAGATTTATTAAGACCATTCATGGCTAATTTCATACAAGTAAGTGATGATTGTAATTCATAGATGAGGATGAAAATTTCATAAAATCATTTGCAGTGTTGAAATCTTTGAGTTAATAGTTGAAATTAGTTTAGTTTCTGCTCCAGCCTGTCATCTGAGGAATTCTTTTGTTTCTGATATCCCTCCCAGCGTTAGGACTGCGCTCGTGGCCTGACTAAAAGCCTGCTAAGTTAATGGCCTCGGTCCTGCGTCCTCCCGCTCTCCTGGGCCTTGGCGCAGACCTGTGCTCTGTCTGTTGCGGTAGGAGCTGATGGAAATAAATGGGTAGAGGCAGCTCTTTGTGCAGGAATCCGTTCCGGGGATGTTTCATCACAGCAATGCTTTTCTCCAGCCTATAGTAAAGGTCTTTAAAAAAAAAAAAATTCAAGATTTTAAGTAATTATTTTTTCTTTCTCTCTTTCAGTATCCGCAGTGTTATGCAAAAATATCTTGAGGAAAGGGGTGAATTAACCTTTGACAAGATTTTCCATCAGAAAATCGGTAAGTCGTATTTGATCAAAATGTTACTTATTTTTCTATTTTAAAGATTGACTTGCCTGCCACTTTTCTGTGAAGGATGCTGAGGATGAATATTGCAGGCGGTGTTAAGAATCCTGCAGTATAGACAGGACTTAATACAGCAAAGACATTGGCAAAAATGAAATGTTACGAAAAGGAGGAAGTCGACCAATATGTCAACTTGACCTTGTAATCTGGAAAACTGCTGGAAAAAATATCTTTTTTTGGAAATATCCAGGAAAAGTTGTTGCTTGGCATGGGTTTGTCACCAGTGGGGTGTGCCAGGCTGGTCTAATTTCTTCTTAAGAACCAGCCCTCTCATCTGCGCCTGTGCGGGGGTAATTAGCTACGCCGGAATCATTAGTTAGACAAATAGGGGATGGAGAACCACTGATCAGGCGGGCATTTTTAATAGGCTTGGATGCTGCAGTGAGTTACAAGCTGTGATGTGTCAGCTATTCGTGTAGCTATAGTATAACATCAGGATTGTGCCCTGCGAGGCATGTGAAATAATCCTCCTTTGGCAGAATGTGGTGTCCAGTCCTGGCACGGGGCTGCAAAATATACGTGGAGCTGCTGGAGAGAGGCCAGGAGCGAGCGGCAAGAAGGAGCAGACCTTATTTAGCAGTCTGCTAAATGTGACCTATGAGGAAGTCCTGAAATAGGGTGTTACGTAGACTGCAAAACTGCAGGGAGGTTGAGTGGCCTTCAGAGAACTGAAAAGCCTTGCAGGAACTCTGAGGTTCGTCACAAGTTAACCCCCTGGAAAAGAGATAAAATACCAAGAAAAAAACAATTTACTAGTAGGATGGGCAGCAAAACAGAGGAGCGGATGCCGGGAGGGACCGAGGTCGGAGGTTCCCAAGAGCAGCTCCCCAAGCACAGCGCAGCTGCCCTTGCTGGGACACCTTGCTGGGACGGGGCTGCACAGACTCGGGGTGTCGTTGCCTCTGTCCTGCAGCGCTGGGCACGGTCGCAGCGGCGGCGGGGCCGCGACGGCCGCCTCGTGCCCGCTCTGCCCGGCCTCCCTGCGGCTCGGGAGGAGAGGGGAACCGAGCCGTGCCAGCGTTGCCAAAATCAAATCAATTAGCAGCAGCATGGGTTGTCATTAATAGGATTTGTAGCTTTTTGCACAGGAGGCACTGGAAGCGCTGGCCCAAAGCACATGCATGTAAGTCTCATGCAACTTCCCATCGCATTACAGTAATTGCAGAGCAGCCCGCGTCTCTGTGCAGAAAATCTGACTGCTCTTACCCGGAGCAGAGGTTTTGGGCTGCGTGTCGCGTGGCTGTTTCCTTTGTGCTGGCTGCTTCTGGCGCCTGCCTCAGTTCAGCTCTTCGTGCTGGATGTGAAGGTATTGTTACTGCACAGGAGCAGCGAAAGAAGTGGACTCGATCCAAAAAAAGCCTGACTTGAATTGCTCAAGTCTGTGCGGTGACAATAAAACGAAGCTTTCTTTAAAAAACCTTTAGAAAAAAAGTTTTTATAAAAACCTTAGCCTGACGTTAACCTCAGCAGGTCCTGCATGGGGCCGGGTGCGCACGGGCGAGACGTGTTCCACACAGCGCTGCAGAGCCCGGGGATGCTCCTGGGATCACTGCTCCAGTTTGGTGCTTTTGGGGCTCCTTCCTTCTGACAAAGGCTTCAGGGTGAAGGGAAAAAAAAAAGATAAATGATAAATGTGGCTGTTCTTAACAGAAGACTTTCTGTTACATTGAAAATACTGCTTGTCCGTACTGTGGCTGTTCATTTAGAATTTATTGCATTTTCTAGCTTGTTCTTTGCCATTAAGTTGGTTCCGTTTCCAGACATTAGCATAATTATGTGTGGTAAAGTACCTTCAGTTTTGGGCAAGCATTATGCAAAATGCTGTGACAATAAGTATGGTGTGGTAATTAAAAAAGGCCAATCATCTTTTTTGCTCTTATTATTTTTTTGTATCCCGAGGATAGGTGGAGGCTTCAGCTGGTGTTGGACTTTGCATGCAGATCTGTGGCCAAGAAACACAGCAAGATCTTAGTTCCTATTCTAAGAAGTTCAAATCAGTTCTCAGTCAAATGTGTATCTGCTTATGAGCTGTAGCAGCTGAGTTCATCTTCTCACCACTGCCTCTTCCTATGCCTTTATTTTATCAGTTAAAGAGTCTTCAAGTATGCGATACTTTCTCCCTGTATAGTAATTATAAAACCTGATCAAGCTTCGTCTTTTGTTCCCCTTGGTAAGTGATGTAGATAAGGACTGTTAAACTTTTTTCCAGAGCACAGAGCTTTCTTACAGCTCCATTTCTTGTTTCTCCTGTTTCTCAAATGCAAAAGCCTGTTGTCTGGTACAAGTCTTTCTGATACCATGTAATGAAGTAACTGTCAGTCCTCTTATTTACACCGTTCATGATGACAAAGAAGTTGCTCTCTTCACTTGATCTCAGAGTGAATCTCAGTGACTCTCCCAGATGATCCTCAGCTCTGTTAGCGTCACCTAATGAGCTGCAGAGGCCTCGGAGATATTGCAGCCAGCGGAAAGTTGCCCTGTCAGCGTTTATCCCGTAGCCGGCATGCTGTTCCCAGCACCGCCGGCTTCCTCTGCACACCAGCTTCATGGGGAAGTACAGCCTGTGTCGAAGCGGAATGTGTAACCACCTTAACTAGTTTTCTTCTTACCACATCCTGTTTGCTGCAGCGCCAGATTGTGCTCTTGCTTTACAAAAACAAAAAAAGAGACGTTTTCTAGCATTCCACTAGTTGTTTAGGTATAATTTGTAGATGGAATCTGCCCTCCTCTCACCTCATCACTCTCTTAAAATTGCGTTTGAAATTCCCTCTGTGCTGCATTGTGCTGAAGGACGGGCACGCTGGTGGCAAGGCAGCTGCTGGAGGGTGCTGTGGTGCTCTGTGCAGCCTGCGGGTGCAGCAGGAGCTGGGCGCAGCGCTCGGGTGCTGCTCGTGCCCCTGGCAGCCAGGCTGGGCCAGGGTGTCCCGCAGCGGTGCAGCAGGTGCCGGGATTGGGGGCAGTGGGTCGATCACAGCGCGGCTCTCAGGTAGGGTCCCTGTTAGGCCCGGGTCCTTCAGAGCGACCTGCTCGTCCGTTGTCGTTCAGCGAGTCCTGCAGGCTTTCGGGCAAGTTGTCTGTGTCTGGCAGTGAAGAATAACAGGATAGTGGTCTGGGACCCCAGGGTTTGATGGCACAGAGCCTGTTACCTGCAGGTCAGGGCTCGGGTCTGCCCGGGGCGGCTCAGTGGCAGTTGATGGCACGGGACACTTTGACTACGCCGGTCCCATGTCTCCTGTTTGTTGGAGAATTTGTGTTTGGGCCTTGGTGCAAGGTTAGAACAGAACACATTTGAGTGGTTTTGGCAGCTGGAGGTACTGCTATATATATTTTTCACCTTGTTTAGTAAATAACTTGCATTTCCCTCCTTTCCTCCCCAAAGCAGATATAATTTGTTTTACTCTCTTTAAATAAAACGCTTGTTTAAAAAATGTGATAACAAGTTGTAAATATATATATTTTTCCTATTTACTTCTTCAGCTTTGGCAGAGTGAGGATGTTCTTTCTTGGGTGGTTCATTCAACTTTCTTTTATGTCATCTGGACTCGGTGAGGGTTTCCCGGCGCTGGGCGAGCGTTTCGGCACGGGCGGCTTCGTGCGGCCGCCGCCGGCGGGCTCCTCGCCGCGGTCCCGGCCTTGGCAGCTCCTTAGGAGGGTGTTGGGAGCAGACGGGTGTTCGATCCGCCTGGGAGGCACCTCGGCAGCGCCTCGCTCTGCGCCAGGGACTTCCCTCCCGCCGCGCCGTGCGGAACCTGCTCCTGGCACTTGTGTTTCCTCTAGCCAGACTCAGTGAGCGCTTTCTGCTGAAAAACTAGGGTGAGAACAGCTTAAAAAAATCCTAGGGGAGCACATCATGCTCTTTTATTATTTTTTATTTAATAGCATGGACCCATCATATTTCATTATTTCGAAATGTTGATGCTAATGATTGGACATATCTTGAGTTAAAATCTGTTGAGAAAAACGTTCTTGCCCTTCCTCTTTCTTGTGCAGTATGGGAGCACAGCGCACTGCGCTCCCCGAGATGCCTAAAAATAACAGCCCTGGCAAATAGCTCCCTAAAGCATTATTTAAGCTATTGTTTAATTTAAGCACAAGATCTGTGTGCCATTGGCATTCGAACTAATTAAATAGTCCTCAGAGGAAATAACAGCAAAAGAATAAAACTTGGTTGGGAGGAAAGAAAAGCACCTGAATCTTCTAGCCATTAAAGGAGCAGGCAGTGACGTAAAATTTGTATTAATAGATCTCATTTCTAGTTGTTTCTAGCCCCTGGTGCTGCTCGCAGAGGCAAACGCCCGCGTGCGCGGCGGGAGAGGGCCCTGCGAGACGGGGAGGAGCGCCGGGTCCTGCGAGTCCTGCGGGCACGGGGGCCGCAGGAGCCGGCGCAGAGGGGCTGGTGCCGCCGGGACCCCTGCCCTGCCGGGAGCGGGAGGCTGCACAAAACCTGCCCCCAAACACAGAGTCGTTTCAGAGCGCCAAGTCACGGAGGGGCACGGCGGCTGCTCGGGTGAGACCCCGCGGTGCAGCGCCCTGGTCTTGCCCTTCTCCCTGGGCAGCGCACGTGGGGCTCGTGCCAGTCGCTACGCTCTGCTGCTGGTGTGCAGCGAGGCTGCAGACGTGCCGAAGGAACACAGCAGTTTGCTGTGTGAGGGTTTGCGCAGGAGCCAGCAGCGAGGCTGTCCGGGGGTCTGTTTCTGACCGGGGAAAGACGGCGGTCACGGAGGAGTCGACACCATCGGAATTGGGAAGTGACCGCAGCAGCGAGAGAAGACCTTTACAGTGCTGTGCTAGGGCTCGTCTTCCTTCTCTGTTACTTCTCGTTTTCAGTTCAAGTTCAGGCTAAAAGCTGGCTAAGGACGGTTTGCAGGAGTCTTTTGGGAGGCTCTTGGGCTTGTGCTTCCTCGCCCACTTCTGAAGCACAGTTCATACCATCA